CCCCCCTCCCCCCCCCCCCGCCCCAGATCCTTTATTGTCTGCTCGCCCAGCATCCGCTGGCTGCATTTGGCACTCAGGCAAACAAGACTGATCTGGAGGCAGATGTAAGTGTAGGAGCCCAAGGCTCTGCCAGTGCCCCTTGCGTGGCCTAGCAGCTATGGTTGCTTTTGTGATGCGGCCCTTGGTGGGGGAGCACTAAAGCCGGGTATAGGGTGGCTTTGGTTCAGTGAAATGGATGCTAGCCACCCCTAGCCTGGGAGGCAGCTCCCACACTGTTTATTTTAGGGAGAGGGTGGAGATAAATGAAGCCACTAACTTCTCTGGACGCGTCACCCCCAGGTGTCCAAGCAGCAGCCAGGACTGGGGAAACGTGCCTCTCCAATGTCCTTCCTTCTGTCTCCCCTCCATGCGGAGCTGTGTAGCTTCCCTGCAGGTTGTGGTGGGGAACGGAGGGGCACATTCCTGGCATAGACTCCTTCTGCCATCGAGGGAGCTTAAAGCAGAGGGGAGACCGAGCCCCAAGCTGAAGGAGGCTGTGAAAGTCCTGCGCTGTTCTTAATTTTCAGCCAAACAAGGCAGCCAGCGCCCAGTTCAGGGGAGCTCAGAGCGAGGGTTCTGGTGAGAAATGGGAAGGTCCCCCTTGTGTCTTCTTTTGTGGTTGGCATGGGGTCTCAGCGGGAAGCTGCGTGTGGGTGTGCTGGTCTGAGCCTTGTGCACCTTGTCTTACAGGGGTGCACTAGTGCTAGAGACACTGGAGGGGGGCTTGGTGGCAGAACTGGGATTTGTCTCCATGGTGAAGTTGTTTGGATCTGGGTTTTGGGCCCAAGCTGCAAAATTCTGGCTTCAAGCTCGCCGGCGTTGGGAATGTGTGGAGGGGCGTCCTGTTACAGCCACTTGCTGAATGCACCCCGTGTACAGCCGGGTGCTCCGGCTGGTGTGTGTTAGGGTTGCCAGGTGTCCGGTTTTGAACCGGACAGTCCAGTATTTGAGCTTTCTGGCAACCCTATGTGTGTTCAGTGTGTCTTCCCACCATGGCGTGGATTCCCCTTGGAAAGCCAGGGCTGATGGGAGACCTCCGTGCCTGCAGTTTACTCTGGTCCCCTGCATTCCTTCCCAAACGGATCCCCGCTGTGTGTGCCCATCTCCTCCCTTGTTCTGATCTGCTGTGAGGTGCTGGCCCTTTGGCTTCCCCAATGTTGTTCCAGCTGAGTCCTAGGCTTGTCCGCTAGCCCCGGAGCTTCTCCAGGGAGTTTTTTTCCTACAAAGCGGGCTGGTGCTTCCTGGGTCGTGAACATGCACAGGGGACTGGTTTGTCAGCCACCCTGCTCCTTGCTTCTGTTACCCTGACGTATAAAACATTGGTAACAACTTCCATCCCGGGGAGAGGGGGGACAGAAAAGTGTCTTCATCTAGCCTGTGACCTTCTATGCGTCCCTTGGTTTCCCTCCCCTATTCCTCAGGCCAACCCCTCCAGTGCTTCCAGCAGCTGGCTGGAGGAAGCCACTGAATGGAGCTAGCATGGGGAGCGGGGGGAGAAGTTGAGGGGCAGTGGCTTCCACAGGGAGTGGGGCTGCAGAAAGCCGGAAGTGTGGTGTGGGCTCTGCGTAGAGGGAGGGGGAATCGATAACGTGTGATTAGGGACATTCAGCAAGTGGCTAGCCAGTAGCAAACTGATACCAGGTTCTGCTTAAGCCTGGTCTTTCAAACTGCTTTTGGTGCCACCAGCGGGAAGGGGGACCCAGCTGAAGTAGCCTTCTCTGGGCCACTGCCCTCATCCCGCTGTACAGTCTGGACTGAGGTGACCCCATAGAGCAGAGCTAGGTTTAAAAAAACTAGCCATTTAGAAACCACTTCAACCCTTGCTTGACCCAGGCTTCCATCACTCGTGCTCACTTGGGCTTTAAAGACAGTTCGGCCCCATCCTCCCCAGCTGCTAAATCCTATTCTTCTCCAGGGTTGCAGCGAGCACTGTTTGACGTCAGGTCTTGGGCTTCCACACTAGCTTCCCCCCCCCCCCCT